ATAAAGCGGCGGCCCAAATCTTAAAATATAGTCGAAATCTAACTACACATATGATTACTGGAGAAGTCAAACAACAAGAATCAGCGTAATGCGTAAAAATTTTGTAGGACCAGTTTCAATGGCTTAAATGCAGAACCATATTTTACTCGATCATTTGCAGTTAGGTAGCTGAAGAAGATGGTTCTGTATTTAAACCGCCGAAACTAGTCCTACAAAATTTACAAATATTACGCTGATTCTTGTTGTTTAACTTCACCAATAATCGTTATTCCGCGTGTTATTTTAACCTACAAATATGAGTTAAGAATATATAGAGCCATGAACAGGATTTTCTAGTTTGCAATAGACTCTACAACACATTTGACATTTGCACGAATTAGAGATAAATTTGAGACTAGTGGTACTATATGTCACGTATACACGGGAAGAGCTGGGAGGTCTCGCATAGTAAGAAATCCTTCCTCTTCAGGTGTAGTTTGAAAGACCTTACGTACTTGCTACAGAAGTCAACCAGACAAAATACACGCGAAACAGAAATTTGTACATCAAGTATATCACGTATTCTGAAAACAAAAATAGAAAGTTTACATCTCAAGAATATTACATGCAACGAAAGAAAACGAACTTAATCTGTTTTAAGATGAATAGGACAGGGGATCGGCACGGTTGGGCTTAAGAAAATTCTCGAATTTATTAATTCATGTGGACAGAACGACAGGCAGAGACAGCAAAAAGTGCAGATAAATAGATATATTTAAATTTCCACCATTTTGTAATCTCACACCTCTGAAGATATCGTGATTTTAAAGATTTCAATATATAAGTGATTCATAACAATTTTATTTACTTATTTTTGTCAGAAACAGATTTGTTTCTGAAAAAGAAGTATCTGTGTCTGGTTGCTCTCGAAAAAGACCGAGCTTTATTTAAAATCTCTACAAAATTAAAGATGCTTTGTTGCCTGATTTTAAAACATATATCATAGTTATTCATTCTATTACTCTAATTTTGTTTTTCATTTAAAGTTGACGAAATGAGAATTTCTTGTTAGATTTGTTTAATGTAAGAAAATTATAAAAGTGCTTTGTGAATTTGATCCTTAAAATCCTCTCTTAGATCCTCTACACTAATATAGTCATTGCACAGAGATAACTATCGAAGCATAGTCAATACACTAGGTGTTACTTGGAACTTATGGGGTAAATTCAAAATACCTTGAACATTTTTTCAAAATAAGCAAATTGTCAATCTATCTCTTGCAACAAGGTGTTGCATCACAAAAAGTACAAATAATGAAGGTTATGTACAGAAAATAAAACAGCAGTTGACTCTTAAACGTTGTAGGGAAGCATATGTTTCAAAGCTATCCGTAACAATACAAATACACACACGCGCTACTAATATAATATAGCTAAACTAATTGCTAATATAATTCAATGACGAACGCAAAATGTAACAGTTAATTGAAAATTAAGTTAATTAATAAACTTAGTTTTATTGGAAAATATTTTATTATTACAAATCTAAAATTGCTTTGATATTTTTAATTCTTTTTTATTACCTTATAAGATTTATTCAAAATCTATTCCAAATTAAAGTACCGTTTCTGTCAAATTTTTCCTTAATTTTAAGTCTATGTACAACTACTGCTCAAAAATTGAACAGAAGGCTCAGAGAAGGCTGAAAATTTCCTTCTGGGCTCTACTTCCTATAGAAATGCACTGGTTGTATTGGGATTTCATTGTTTCATCATGTGTAACATAAATTAGGAACCAATATTCCTTGAAAAGACCTCTTAAACCCCTCCCCTTTTCATTGTCTAGCATTCGTCAATCGTCTGAATCGGAGATTTTTGCCCAGCGGTAGTTCGATATTTCACCGATGAAGAAGGAAATATAGTCCTCTTTATCCAAAACAAAAAGTTTCCACTTGCTTTGGGGTTGGGGTAGGACTCTGATCTAAACATATAGACACATACCACTTTCTATGGGTCTGATATTATTAAACAATATGAGACTTCAAGACAGCATTTAAAAGTTGCTTGGTAAAAGAACAGTTCAATGAAATGCTAAACTTCTTTACGACCAAATTCGTATAACATTTATAATAATTTATATTAAATTCTGAAAAGTAATTTTCTTTATTAAACTCACTTTTTTTTTTCTTTTGTCAAGCTATAAATTCGCCCTGAAAAAGTGGGCAATGATACAGTTTGCAATATAAGGTGAGCGGGAAATATGCAATTTGCAATATAAAGTGGCCTTACATTCTTAATTCTGCAAACATAGTTCACGACTTTGTTAATTTAACCTCCACGTTTTCAATATTACCAGTTTTAAGTAAGAAACCGTCATTTGCCTTCTAGTTATAATTTTTTTTTTTATAAAAATAAAAGTATTCCTTCCATGCATGCATGGAATAAATAAAGGAATTTATTTATAATAAATATAAATAAATAATTCCTTTATTTATTCCATTGCATGGAAGGTAAATGCAGTTTAATGTTTTTATCAGTTACTCGAAATTCCCAGCATTAAGTTAAAATAAAAATAAAATGCAAATTTCTCTTACATAAATGAGAGAACCGTAGAAAAAATTACAACTTATTGCTCTCGTATAAATTAATTAGCATTTTCAGCAGTGAACTAATTTAACTGCATTGAGAATTAAAAAATAAATAAATAAGGCTTCTGTTTAAATAAATTTAATATTTTGAATCTCAGTTTTTCACTTTAGCCTTAAACTTGCACCTTATATTTTTAGAGGTTAGATGTTCGCTATGGATCTTGAATTTAATATAGATTTTTAGAGTTCAAAATTTTGTTATTCAGCAGCAAATGGCTTGCTTATTCAGCTCATGTGTTTAAGATAGAATTGAAATTTGTTGCCTTAATGGTTGCAATTAAATTTTTATTCTTAAATTTTATTATTTAAGTATTCGGTTCTGTTTTTATTTTAAAAAATTATCCATAGCTTTAAATTGCACATAAATTATTATTTTACTAAGCTCATTCAATAAAATGTCAAAGTATTGCTTTCATTTCAATAACAATAGTTGAGCAAATAATTACTTGCACAATTATTAATATAAGACTAAGTAAAGAAAGTTATGATCACTGATATCCATTAATTAGCAGAAGGATTTTTAAAAGTGCATTTAAATATTCTCCTTTATTTCTATTTCAGCGAGCCCAAGTTGGTATGATGTTTAGCGAAGGCTAATTTCAAAAGCCGTTGGGTTTAGATTTGAAATCCCCGACAGAGCGTGTGTTTTGTGATTATAGGTTCTTTGCGGAATGGAAGCACTTAAAATCTGTCGATCCGAAAATTGCTGAGAGGTTGCTAGTAGAGAAAAAAATGCATGAGATCCTCGGATTTCATTCTTTAGAATATTCTCGGTCAAAATGTGATAAAACTTAAGACAGGAAACTTTCGTGTTCTTTGCCTAAGTTATACAATTAACCAGCTTTTTTACGAAATAAATAGAATGCTGAAGAATCATAGATGTCGTCGTAGCTTAAATTATCAGACGATAAGTTTAAAACAGGATCCATTTATTATTGGTCAGGAGAAATAGCAGTTACAAAATCATATTTTAGGAGTAAATAAAAAAGAATTACTAATAACTTTTTGTATGAAGTTTACTGCATCGTTATATTTAAGAAAAAGCTTTCGATATTCCGTTGCGAGTCCTTTTATAGCCTCTGGAAAGGTGGAGCTTCTAAGAAATGGCGTCAGCCAATCCAGTTCGCTTTAAATATTTCCAGAACATTCTATAACTGTACGTGTAGAAAAGGCGGGAAAAACAACTTGACTACGGGGCTGTGGATTTAATTCCACGTACTTTCACATAAGAGACCGTCGCCATTAAAAAATGAAAAGAAGATACAGTTAGAATTTTAAGTGTACTCTTGACTATGGAATTTTATTATTACATATACATATATATATATGACGCATCTGTCTTTTTTTCAGTCAATGCCTGGAACCAGAAGTGAAACAGGCGAGAGTGAAATGGCGAAATTATTGAACATAGATTTATGACAAATGTTCCGATGAGAACTCATGTGTTTGGAAACATGTTTAAAGCAGCATTTCAGATCCTAACAACTACCTAAAGTGGAAAGGGGAATAGAGACTACATGAGAGGTCATACGGGTCGGTCTAGTCTATTTCGTACTGAAATTCTATCCCATTCCTAAATCTTGTTAATTACTTCCAAATCCCAAATTAATATTAATACGAAATGTTACGAGATATTTTCCATTAGAAAAATATAGTTGCAAAACATTTATTTTTTTTTCCTCATCAATTTTTTTCGCACTATGAAAATGGCATTGGAAAAATACTAAGCGTTCAAACGATAAAAGAATAAATTGCATAATAGTTAACATAAATTATTTCTTTCATGAAAAGATATGTTTGTAGTTGTATTAAAAGTTTGTGAAAAATTTGCAAATTTTCAAACATTTATTAATCTAGAGCTTTCTTTTCTCTTGCTTTAACATACGTAGGCAAGTATAAGCTATGATTACTAAAACATTTGAAACCAGATAATTCTATTAATAGCTTATACTAAATAAAAACAAGTAAAATTTTTTTCGAGTTAAGTTTGCTAATATATTGAAATTCATAGATGAGATGCACGTTTCGTGAAATAATTACCATTCCTTTAATTTAAATATTGGAGTATTTACAGTTGATTGAATCAGAGCGTAGTAAATTCTCATATAATTTCATTAAAGCAAGAATGCTTCAGTTACTGTTATATTAAATCATTCTCGAATATCTTTAGTATCTCTTTTATAAGCTTTGTTAAAGTAACTAATAATAAAACTGAACAACAGAATCAGCAACATAGCAAATCAAACAAACAAACGTATAACAAAATCTAAAGTCCTATTCTTATAACTCTGTGATAAGTCTTTGTCTACTGATACGGAAATTCATAAATAATGCACACATATTAAACAAATAGAATTTTTTAAAATTTCTCTTACCTCAATTATGAAGTTCCTGTTTTCAAAGGGTATGATAGAAAGCAGTTTCTGCATTATTATAATATCAGCTTCTTGCAATGCTCTGACAAATTTTGAATTTTGCAATGGCTTTTTCATCAAATCGACTTGCAAATATGAAGTCGTAATGTCACTTTTCTTGAACAGATTGGTTGCATTTCCAAAGTCTCCTTCTCGTGTGAGGAATTCTACGATGTTGAAACAAGATGACCAGCCTTTCACCGAATCTACTAGCGTTATGTTTAGCGCGGAGCAATTTGCATACTCATAAAACGCACTGCAAAAACCTATCACATCACTGCCAGGTCCAGCACCTAAACTTATGACATTGATTTCTCTAAAATTTAAATAAGGTTTAAGATCATCACAGCTGTTTATTGCTTCCAAAACACTTTCTCTGGCCAAGCCAGCACCATGGCCAGCATAACGGTGAATATATCCACATAATATTTTTGGATCAGTGAAATCAATGTCTTCGAAAAGTCGGAAAGACTCCTTAAGGCTGTCAGCGCTTTCCTCTATATCAGTTTCTGTAATATCACATAAATCGACACTCCATACACTGCGGCATCTAATAATCTCTTGAACCGTCCAAAACAGACGAAGAAAATGAGATTCTTCTTGCTTCCGACTAAGCTTTGCTCGCTTATTTGGACTTTCACTCTGTTCACTAGATCGTTTCGCGGAAAGGGTTGGAACATTGTCCGATTCATCCATCATCTCAGTTTCGCTAACTAAAGTGAGCTACAAGTAAGTAGTTCGTTTCACTGCTACAAAGTCTCGTTTCCTGTTATCGCTGGTTAGCAGCGAAGGGAGAATTTCTCAAAAATAAAGCTGCTTATCTTTATTTTTAACAATACCATCTGATAAAGATAAAAATCAGAAAAATAAAGGATTTCGATTCCCAGGAAACTGGTTTTCAGACCAGACAAAACATGATTAAAGTTATACAAAACGAAAGTACATTCATTTATTTTCTAGGGTGTGTTGAGAGATAACATTCAAATTCTGACCGCAAGGTCAACATGACGTAGACAATAACCACGTCGGGTGAATGATTCCTCAGGGAAAACACTTCAAAAAGTTCTTTTTTTTTTTTTAATTTCGGTTTGACGTTGGCATTCCGGATATAAACACAGGATAAAACTTTCCTAACTTCAGTTCCTGTAGTACATGTTTACAACTGTGTAGACGTAACCTTTTCTGTCTGCTAGCGTAGACAGATAAAGCTGGGCTCTTTCTTCACTCAAGTTGAATGTCTCATCGATATTTACTCTGGACTTCAAAGAGAAGGACTGGGTTCATAAGGCTTTTCCCCCTGAAACAGGAAGTGAGTGTTGTCATGTTGGCTCTGCAATTCACAACAAAGAAATAAACGTTTTAAATCTGGGAAAAAAAAAAAAAAAAACAGCTTTAAAAAACTGTAGGTGAAAAAAATAGCTTTAAAAAAACTAAAAATATAGTTGAAAAAATGAAAAAATAGCTTTAATTTAGAAGAGAAGATGTTATCACTGTAAGCATTTATAGCGTTAAAAGTTGATGATACTTATTTATTAATTTCAAAATAATAAATCAAATACGCTATGTTTTCTTAAAAGTCGCAGGTCCCCCCCCCGTGCATTTATCACGAAGGAGAAAAAACTATTGCACTCATTATATTTTCTTCATTTGAATACTGACAGAATTCTATTACCCTTTCTAAGATAATTATAATAACAGTTTTCTAAAGTAAGAGGTGAAAAAAAACTTAGTTTGGCGTAATTTTGAATACATATGTCAATTTTTATTTTCTGCAGCTAAAGAATAGGAAATTAAGTTTGACTGCTCTTAAAATCGGTAGTTGTATTTAAAATTTAATCTAATCTAAGATTGCTTTTTAGACCTAATTAGATTTTACACTGGCGTGTTTCTCTTCCGATTAGATATAAGAACAGATATTTCAAAAAATAATTATCCAACTTATACTCACATTTACATTACATTTAAATAAATACCAGATCATTGTCTTAAGTTTGACAAAATAACTTTGCTGACAGTATCTGAAGAGAATTACTTAATCTTTCAAAAGAGGGGCAAATGAGAAAAATCTTTTATATGCGAAATTACTTTGATGTTTTATACATTATAAATTACCTAAAGTGATGAGGTAGCTTTGATTTTTACAAATTATCAATGCATTCTTGTTTATTTTTACAGTTAGAGCATTCAACAATATTCACATCGTCATTTGTGAGTCCTATTTTAAAATCATTCGTATTTCATTTATTATTCCTATCATCATTTTCGTAATCGACCTCAAAATGAATTTTCTTCAAAAATTTAATTCGTATAGTCTTTCAAAAGCTCTTTTCTAGACACAGATTGGATTAAACATTTTCTTTTGCGGCAATGTAAGCAAGCGATTTTTCAGGTCATATTCACAATCACTGCATAGAAAAAGTTTGCTGCAAATTCCTATGTTCTTCCCATTAATAGAATTACTTCACATTAGTCCTGTCTTCGACACAGGTATTCATTTTTTTCGCCACAAGCAAATTGTCCCTTGGAAAACTATGAAATATAAAATCACTGTCTTTCTCATTTTCATGAATTTTTATGGCACTTTGCTACAACGCAAGAAGACATGTTACATAAACGATACTTTAAAACAGTGGTTTGAAACTTACATTGCACATGGGCCAGTGCACATTTTGAAAGTAGCTGAGCAATCACAAATACTTAAAAATAGCCGGGATTATTTTTTAACAAAACAAAAGTTGTTAGAAACTTTTTACTAGATATTTGTAAAAACATACGATAAAAAATAACGCAAACAAAAATATCAAATTTATACTTATATTTTGCTTGAAATCTAAAAGTTGGTATCTTCAAGACATTTCTTTTTTCACAATTAGGGATTCAAACAGAGAGCTAAATATTAAAATTTTTAGTCTGGCATTTATTCAACTAATTGTAATATATTGAACTACTAAGTAACTTGCTTTTAATTTAATCTAAAAAGAAATATACGAAAGCTTCACAAGAGGGACAAGACTTGAGAATAAATATTGCCAACCTATTCTTTTTCCTTTATTTATGAGATTTTTTTTCTATGACGCAAAACAGAAAAAGTAATATTTGTATGTAAATTATTGTTTTTTACAACCACTTCATGGCTCTTCGATTTCTCCCCGGATGATCGAGATAAATCATATCAAAAATGATTGATAGCAGTTAACCAACAATGCCCCATTGTAGTCAGTGCACCTTACGTGGTTTGAAACTATCCTGTTTATTTCAGAAGTTATTCATATTTAGTGACAATAAATACATAAATAATAACCAAAAGGTAAAACTGTTTGCTCTCCGAAATCTACTTCGTGAAGCGTGGAAGTAATGCACATTCTTTCCAATGCGTTATAATTATCTTTAAAATAATTTCTGTTTTTGATTAAAAATAAGACAAACATGGAAATAGACGGAACAAAACGGCTGTACAGCATATTTATGGCCAACAGCTGTCGCAGATTTGCATTTCTACTCGTAATGAAAGGACTTTCATTAATATATTCACTCCTTTTCACCTTCCAAATCTACACCTGCTCTTTGTACATCCATAAAAATATGTCACGCAATCTCAGCAACAGAAAATGGGGGGGGGGACGAAGAAAAAATTTTCCATACGGGTGTGTTCTGTATCAGATGAATAGCAGGTGATTACAAATATTAGGACACTAAAAGTAAAGAAAAGTTTGTACAAAACAAAAAAATGATGCCAGAAGTGCTGTATATCGACTAGTTCATCGATTTTGAAAGCATAACAGTGGAACACCACTGGCTATTTGCCAGGTTTCTCACTCAAGCTCATTTTTCTGCTCGATATTTTATTAATGTCAAATAAATATTGTTAAACGTTTAACTCTTCGAATACATTGAAGGTGGTTTATGTTGAGCTAAATTATGCATTCTCGTATGCGTTTGTAACAGGTCATTTGTAAGTACATAATAGAATCATTTAAAGCTGGATATCTTCACACCAGTGCTTACTTCAGAGTGTTGTGTGTGGGGGGGGGGAAGGGGGATTATCCATTTTAATCATTGTAGTAACTGGAGGGAGGTATTTTGTATCTCTTCGAAATTTAATATTCCCAAAAGCTCCCAACAGCCTATATTACTTTAAGTTTTACGCATTCTAGCTTTGGAACCAGCTTTTTAATATTGTTGAGGTTCCGTGAGCTATAGAAAAACGTATACCATAAATTGATACTAACATATTTTACCACGGGTTCTGTGATGTTAACATATAGAGAAACTAAAGCACTTGCTATATAAGATCATTATGCATAAATAATTTATTAATTTTATCCACCAGTAAAATTTCCATAGCTAATATTCTACAATAACCTCATCAAGGCCATATTAGATCTAACTAAAATTATTAATAATTATAGTAAATTAAATTTATAATAATAATAAATACATGAATTATTCTTTATAAAAATAAGCGAACAAATTTATGCGAAATTTAATTGCTTTATATTACAAATTTTAATCATATAAAACTTAAACAAATATTTCTAAACAGATTCGTAGTTTTAAAAGATTTTTCAAAAAGCTACATTTTATTTGGAAGAGTGTTTAGACACAGATACGCAGACATATCTATCTATTGCAGTATTAAGGAAATTTGTTATTAACACAAGACCATATGCTCAGAAAAGAAACGAAACTTTGTTGAATAACTTCATGCAGCTACACTGCCCCTGGCGTTTTTGAGATTAAGAAGTTTGTATGGATTTTATTTGTTTGCTTATATAATGTATAAATAAACAGACGACCTTAGGAAATTTTCTTTAAGGAACTCTTTGTATAATCAAGAAAATTTACTTTAAACGAAAACTGTTCGTAACGGAATATTTAAGCAGTGGGATTCGTCGGAACCGTGCCAAAATTGTTTACATTCTCTTATTCTGTTATTTTGGTTAACGATGAATGCTTGACTACGATTTCAAGTACGTTTTAATGAATACATAAAATTTTTATTTCGTGTTTGAACGAAATCGTGGGGCTGCTGCAGTAAAATGCAATAATTATGCTTCGAAACACTCGTTTTTGTAGTTTGGCATTTGTTAAGTTCCTAAACTTGGAATAGTATATACGTAACTTTTTATAACTAAATTTGTATTCCATGAAAAATCCCATGTGCATTACAGTAAATTACAGAGTGTTTAAGTTGCGATAAACTAAATGCGTTGACGACTGATGTGGAAAAGAAGAAACGAACTGTCTATAACAATACTATAAATGAATAATGTAATGGCACTGTCCCTCTATTAATAAATGATATTATGAAGTTCCTACTGTAAGGATCTTAAGTTTTACTAACGTTTATTTTATTTTAAATCTTTACTATCACTTCTTATTTTCTACTTCCGGCCAGAATTATAAGCGTGAAGGTTTTTATGCAAAGTTTGTCTGGCGAACGCCAAGTATTTAAGTGTGGCCTTTTTGCCAAGCGAAAGAGAGGAAGCAGTGAGTCGAAGCAGGCCGCTTACCTTAGAAGTTACGCAGTTGCTGTTGCCTTCCAGGCCAGAGGTTTTAATCCTCTTGATAAATTAAACGTATTGTAGTGTTCACAGTTCTCTGTGCTACATACGCTTCCTGTTATTATAAGGCCAATCTTCCACGTTTATTATTCTAAAGTTAAATTAGAGTTTAGTTTTATTTTTATATTTTTTTTTTACGTTAGACCCCGAGTGGAGGGTCATTGTATTCCGAAGTACGGAAGTTATTGTATATAGAGAAAAAAAAGGGTTTTGTATACCCTTCGTCTGTATCCTGTCTACTTACCCACAATTAGTGAACATAGCTTTAGTAAGCTCTCTGTTCCGAGTCAGGTCCTTGTATGTTCCCGAAGAAGGTTAGAAGGAACATTGAACCTGATAGTGGCGCCCAACGAAGAACCATGGCCGAGTTTCAAGAAGAACCTGTGCTGCCTGCAGAAACGGCTCAGAATCCAGAAATGCCAGCTGCCGCCCTGGAAGGATTTGGTTACATCGTCCAGACCATGCGCGCTTCGATGAAACCAGAAGCAACATTTAATGGAAACTCACCGGTAACCAGTTTTTTGGAAAAATTGGATGACCACTTCATGCTCTACCCCGTGCACGAGTTTCAAAAAGTTACCTTAGCTACCAGCGCTTTGAGGGGCCAAGCGCTTAACTGGTTCAAATGTATCGGCAGAAGTCTCTTGGGTCAAGCAGGAAGTCCCACCTATACTTACGAAAATTTCAAGACTGCCCTACTAAAAGCCTTCCCTGTTGTAAGGGATCGTGCGAAATTAGAAACGGAACTTTTCAGTATAT